CAAATGAATGAACTTTCACTGTGTGACTCTCAGTACGCATGACTAGCGGAAATTACCGCAAAGTGGTTTACATGTCACGTTGCCGATCGCCGCATGCCCCCCATCAGGAATCGACCAAACAGAGAGCCGTACGGGACCGAAGTCAACGCCCGCTCTTTCAACGTGCCGTATTTCACCGCCATTCATTTGGTGCCGGCCGAATGCCGAATATTTACCCTAACAGGCGCGTCCATCCTGTTTAGTCTGTAACTTATAGAAAGTTGCGTTTAATATTCGTAAGTGGGGCGCGGTCGCAAAAACTGCCGAGGAGATTTGTTACCCTAGAGCGCGTTTCGTTAACAGCCATGCATCATGGTAAGTTATGTGGCGGTATCAAGTGGGTAACCCGTTTTCATGTTCCCTCAGAATTCGCTGGCCAAATCTATTCTCAGTACCTGTTCTGATGGCTGAGACGACGTGATTTCAGCCGGTGATGCGGTTTCACGGAAAGGCTCGCAAAACAAGCATGAACTTGTCAGTAGCATACTCGCAGCGCCCGTCATCAAAAGTCTGGCTTTAAATCGTGCACACAGGTCAGCAATCTGTCAATGATCAAGAGATTGTTGCTGCGCGATGGGAACGCCGCGTAACGCAAAGAAATTCTGGACGATGAAAAGACTAACGTTGGTCGAAACGTTTGAGGCCGCAAACGTAGACGAAGAGAGGACATGGCCACTTATTCACGATCATAAGCAGATAAAATGGTAGAAGTTCTTGATGGAATATGCTGCTTATGTAACAGGCAATTTTGTACGAAAACTCAATCGACGAGATCGGTGCATTTCACTTTTATAATGTCGACCGGTTTCACTGACCACCAGTGGCCTCACTGAACTATTTTATGACTTGCTGTTATACGCCTGTTAACGAGTGATGAGTGACTTAATGGAACCAGGTCTCCGGCTCCATTTTTCGAGTTTCAGGGCTTTATACGGCGATAAGAACTCGTTCAACTGAGCGATGCGACTAAATTTTGCAACCATCATTTGAGTTTTAAAATCAGCGCATCTCTCCTCACATGAGATTCGCAGTATAACTCCCACAAATTATAATTAAAACAGGATTTGAAAATACGCCTACCTTCTGCTTCGTTACGAGAATGACGCTTATAATATGCAGTTAAGTTAGATCCAGTCGTGATCACACATAATGAGAAGTAGCCCCTGGCGACACTGAATAGTTGAAGAGTTCATGCGGAAGACTTAGGCTGATAATTACTTTTCTCGGTCGACCACACGGACAAGTGCTAACGTTCATGGGCCAGTTGTACCTGCAAACCGATTTGAGGACTGCCGTTATGAAACGCATCATCCATTCGATGATGCCTACATTCTTTATAGTGATGCGTATGCACTCACCACTCATCGCCGTGCTTAATGACTATAGGTTAGTTGCTTGATTTGACTTGAAGAGCATGGAAAACATTTCATTTCATAATCTGATTGTCCAAACGATCCACTAAGTACAAGACAGAACATTTCTGCATGCACGTACAGCTTTAACCACGCATGTAGCAGTTTTCTGAACTATCATAGTGCTAGAAAATTTGTCAGACTCCAACAGCAGAGAAAGCTTGGACTTAAACTACCTAAGCACACAAAAAAGCGAAAATATATGAGCGATGGTGAATGAACATCTAGTATTTTCTAGAGAGGGCAGACCGCCTGATGGAGCCGTCACGCCTGCTTCAGAAATAAACGTGGTCTGATATCTCCTAATTTCCGTTCAGGCTCATGGCTCAGAATCCATTAATTAGCAGAGTTGCCTCATATTAGCATGAGGAGCTTCATTTCTGCTGGTCTGTCTGGAAAATCGTTATGGCTGACGCGGTGGTTAGAGAAAATGCCATTCTTTGCTTGCGCGCACCGTCCCTTACTTTGGGCGTGGCCTACTATCAACAATTGCATTTGATTTTCGATCATGGAAAGCAAAGGAATCAGGAGGAAGTGAAGAACGCATCGTTGCTTAAGGCGCTTGCCACGTGCTGGATCTGTCAGTCGAATAAGAGAGCTTGTATTAACAAGATGTCCTTGTTTTACCTGTAGTTATGCAGCAACTTCCTCTCGTTTCCGGTGACAACTCAACTACTTTCTCACTATGAACTTTCAGTGTTACCGGTTAAGGCACAGAGGTTAGCAGAGAGTTGTAGACGGAAACTGCCTCTTGGATTTCTCCACTTATGAAAGCACGTAAATTTCTCCA